GGCGCTGCTTTGATGTTTACACTGATTTAGGAATTAGCCTGGAAATGGTTGCATGTGCCCAGGGAAGTGAAATGAGGACTGGCTGCAGGAGAGGTACCCGAGCTCTGCTTCCCAGCCCAGATTCTTCCTTCCCTGTTCTGTTTCAAGAAGTGGAGCTCAGTAACATCAAACCAGCCTCTGCTCAGGTCCAGTGCAGCCCTCAGCATCCCAGACATTCCCTGGAGCTGCAGGAGGATCTCAGCCCTGCAGATCCCTACACCAGGCAACACTTACTCCAACTGAATTAGCCAGAAAGGTCTGGAATGGTTAATTGGAATTATTTAGCTGTAATGGTTTGCCCTCCTCCTCCTCCTGGCCTGATGTTCTCTAAATTGAATTCCTTTAACAGAATCCAATATGCAGCAAAGCTGTTGGTTCAGAGAAATGTTTTATTTGGGGTGTGGCTGGTGGAGCCTCCCAGGGGGACTCCCAGGGACCCCTTTTGTGTCCCCATCCTCTGCCCTGGCAGGAGCCAGGGGGAGTTTCCTTCATTCCAGGGCTGTGGGATGTGATGGGATCACTCTGAGCACAGCTGGGGAGGGATCAGCCCCAGGAGCTCCCCGGGCAGCTGCACCTCCCTTCCCACTGCAAATCCAGGAAAATCTGTGCTGACAGAACCACAGAATATCCTGAGCTGGAAGGGACCCCCAGGATCACCCAGCCCTGCCCAGACCCCCCAACATCCCAGCCTGGGCATCCCTGGAGCTCTGGCAGCCTCGGGGCCGTGCCCATTCCCTGGGGAGCCTGGGCAGTGCCAGCAGCCTCTGGGGGAAGAACCTTGCCCTGATGTGCAGCCTATACAAATACATTTGTATATTTATATTTGTATTTATAGTTATAGTTATATTTCTCTATATTTCTATATCCTGCAGCAGGAGGGAAGAGCAGGCATTGGGAGAGCAAAACACCACACAAATTCCTCGACTCCTCCCAGCTCAAACCTGTGTCAAAGGCATTTTCACGATGTGAGTGGGAATATTCCCCTTTAATTCATTTATAAAGTCACTTTGGTAACAGTGCAGGCCATGTTTGCTGCTCACAAACTCCCAAGCAATTTATTCCAGCTGTTTTCCCCCAACAGCTGCACAACCAGAGAGAAATTCTCCTCCCAGCAGAGGTGGGAGAAAAGGAGATTTGTCTTACTATGTCTGGGTAAAGCTTATCTGCCTATTTGCTGCTCAGAATTGTATTTACAGAGCACAACAAAGGCAAAGCCAGGTGCACTAATTGCTGTTGCTCAGGTGGAATATTTTCTGCTCACCCTGAGCCCTGCCTCTGTGGGCTTTTATACTTTATCCACAGAAGGGTTTTATTATTCACCCATCACTGCTGTTCCATTGCCTCTGGATCTGCTGAAAGGAGGGAGAAAAACCTCAATGATTTCTTGCTTTTTCAAACCAGGATTGCTGAGGGTTTGGGGTTTTTTTTTTTCCTGAGGTTATTGCACGTTGCAGACAAATAAATCACATTTAAATCAGCCTCATTCTGAGCACACAGATGGAGGCTCCTCTGGAGGGGAAGCTCTCCATATCCAGGTGTTTTCCATCCGCCTCACAGTGGGCTCCACATTCCCAGGCTCCCAAGGGATGAGCACAGAGCAAAAAATCAATCCCCCAGAAGGGGAAAAAAAAAAAATCCAGCCCCAAAATAGTTTTGTTTTCTACCTGATCAACACCACAAATCCTCATTTTACCTCTCCTCCAGCTTTTTTTGGTTACAGAGCATCTCCCTGAGGCTTTGTCCACACTGGAGAGCCCAGGTCAGGCCCCAGCCCCCAGCATTGGGGGTTTATGGCCTGGAAGAGGGGCTGGAAATGGGGTGAATTGGTCTGAAAAGAGGATCAGGGGTGGCATTTCCCCTGTCCCCCCTTTCCATGGGGAGGGAGAAAGCATCCCAAACCCAGAACGAAATCTTTGCGGTGCCCAGGGCTCCCTGCCACCTCCTGGATGTGAACTCACCCCAAAATCCCATCTCTGCTGGGCTCAGAGGGGGTTTGTGGCTCCTGCAAAGCCCTCTCAGAGGGGCAGGGAGGATGTCAGTGTGAATTCCTGAGGAGTTACAGACCCTGCAGCCAGGAAAGCTGGCAAATGGATCCCAGGTAAACACCATCCCTCTTTAATGTCACCTCTCGTGCAGAGCTCCGGGTGTTTGAACAAAGCCTGGCTTTGCCCAGGCCCTGCTCCCAGCTCAGCTGGGACCCTGCAATGGGGAATTTAATCCCAGCTCAGCACCAGGCTCTGCTGGCAGCACTGGAAAACCCCCAGTGCAGGTTTGGGACCTTGATCCCACCTCCCAAAGCTCCAGGAGCTGCTTCACAACCCCCCCTTTGCAGGGTGTGACGTGGTGGGGACACTTCTCCTGCCTCAACTTCCTTCCTTCCACTCCCCACCCATCCCAGAGGGCTGGAGAGCATTTCTGCATTAAAAACTTCCACGGGGGCATTTCCCTGCTGGGGTCCCCGTGATGCTGCAGAGGTGGCCCAGGTGTCACTCCCTGGCCAGGTCCCCTCCCGAGGCACACAGGCACCTCCAGCAAGAGCTGCTGTGTCCCCAGTGCCACCAGCAGAGCCCGAGCCCAGTCCCCAGCCCTCTTCAGTGACTCCCACACTGTTAAACTGAGATTAAAAGGCGAAGACTCAGCTGTGGGGCTGAGCTTGTCCCACCTCCCCAGGAGAAGCACGCTGTTCCCCACAGGCAGCACCCAGCAATATCTGATTTTTTCTGGGTGTTCAGGCAATTTCTGGGGCTGGGGAAGGGACAGGGGGGCTGAGCCTGACCTCTGCTGTGCTCTCATCTCTGCCATCCCTCTGCAACCTTAAAACTCAGGCTGCTTCTCCCCCTCAGCCAGGACATGGAGCCCCTGCCCTGCCTCCAGTGACAGCAGCAGAGGATTTTCATCCTGCTTGGAGCACCAGAAAGGAAATTAAAAGGGTGATAAGGGAGCTCCTTCAGACAACGAGGGAATATTCTGTGCTAGCAGGGAGATAAAGTAATATTTCTTCCAGCTCTGGCAAAGGCTCAGAAATGAGATGTGGGGTGAAATTCTACATTTATAGAGATTTTATAACTCTTACCTGGGCTGCAGGATAACCATCAGCCTGGCTCATATTTCCTCATCAGAGGAGGTCACAGCAGCACAAAGAGAGGGAAGGGGATTTTATTTCATTTTCTCCCCTGGAGAGACATCCCAGGATCCCCAAACCTCAGTGCTGCCCATCCTGATTGGAATTCAGCCTCCCAAATTTTTATATGACACAATTTTTTTTTTAAAAAAAACAACCCCAAACTCCTTTTAAAGCACTTTTTTTTTTTACTTTTTTTTTTATTGATTTCATTGAAAACAGAACAAGAAAATGATCAGAGCCAAAAGGCTGCTCCTTTAAAACTGTCAAAAACATTAACAGAAAAAAATAATAATAATAAACATGATGGCATTATGAATGTTCTAGAAGAGATGAACAAAAAAACCAAAAAAACAAAAAAACTTGTTACTGCACTAATTACAGTATTTAAAGATATATGCAAAAAAAAAAAAAAAACCAAAAAATTAAGATAATGACCTGCCCAGCCACCACACAAAAGGTGATGGCAAATTTATTCACACTACAATACTAACAATTTAAAAAAAGTTTTGTTTTTTTTTTCCTGCATTTTTTATACTAAAATCACTTTGTTCTTTTTATACAATTGATAAGTTTATATTCACGTGGTGAGCAAAAATCACACCAGAATCAGCACCGTTTTGTTTTGTGGTTTCTTTTTTGTTGTCGTTTTGGTTTTTTTGGGATTTTTTTTTTGTGGGTTTTGTTGTTTTTTGTTGTTTTTTTTTTTCTTTTTAAGCTTTTTTTTTGTTGTTTTTTTTTTTTTTTCCTCACGTTTTTAATGCTTGTCCCCGATGTTTCAATAATGGTAAAAAATAAATCAGTTCATTGAAACCTCATAGCATTGTGGCTTAAAAATCGATCCAAGGTGCCCAGCGTGGAGCAAAGGGATGGGAACAGACGAGCTGGTGGCAGCTGGGATCTCCTCACCGTCACACGTCTGTCCACCCCAGCCAGTCCAGGTCCTCTATAATATATATTTCATTCACTTTATCTTTAAAAAAAGGAGGGGGGAAACTTGGTTTTCTTTAGGAATTAGTGTCTTGTAAAATCCTCTTCAGCCTTCTCTCTCTAAAACCACTGGTGGGAGAGGGAGAGGGGAATTCCTTCACGGAGGAACCCAACACTGAGACAGGAACAGGAGCAGAGCTGCTTTGAACGGAGAAAATCCAGGAGGGAGAGAGCCAGGGATCACAGGGATTGGAAAGATTCTGGGATTCTTCTCATCAGATGAGAAAAAAAAAAAAAAAAAGAGAGAATTGAGGGTGTTTGTAGGGCCCCACCACAACGTCCTGCGAGATGGGGGAGGAATTATTCATTTATATAAAAAAAAAAAACAACCAAAAAACCAACCAACCAACCAAAAAAAAAAAAAATAACCCAACCAAACCAACAAAAAAACCAACCAGCACAACCTGCCCTGGGGCTGTGCCAAGCAAACCCAGAGGCAGCTCCCTCCCAGGAAAGTCCCAGCAAGTATCCAGAGTTTATTGTGGTGAGGGATCCAGGCAGGGAGCGGCTCCCCCTGCCCCTGACGACACTCGGCACGTTCAGAGAGGAGGCAAGGACAGCTCAGGTGGCAAAAAAAGAAATTAAAAAAATGCAACAGCCACCCCTGCACACACAGCTGTGAAACCCAGCAGCTTTTCCAGGAGCAGGGAGGGGAGAACGTCACAGAGGCGGGGTTTGCTTTCACTCCTTCCTCAAGTAACAGTCGGTGGCACAGCCCTAAGTGTCACAAACCCTTGGCTTTCCTTGAGCGGGGTTTATTCAATTTTTTTTTGTTGATTTTTTTTTTCCCCTTTTCTTTTTTTTTTTTTTTTTCATTATTTTTTAATTTAATTTTTTTTGCATGGTTTTGTGTCGCTTTTTGTTGGTTTTTTATTTTTATTTTTTTCTCTCTCTCTGTCTCTCTCTTCTTTCTGTTTAAATGGAAATGCAGTAGGTGAAGCTGTGGGGTGGAGGGAGGTGGTGTCAGAAGGAGGCTGTGGCAGAGCTGGTGTCGGGGAGCCCGTTCTCCTGCGTGTCCTGGGCCGAGGTGCTCGCCTGCCGCTGCGCCAGCGCCGAGCTCGAGTGTTTGCACTTGGGTGAACCGCACTGACAGCTGAAGAATTTGCCTTTGATGTCCCAGAACCTGTCCCCGTAGTCGAAGCTGCGAGAGAGAGACACGAGAGGGGTCAGGGAACTGCCACAGCTTCCGAAAATCCCGGCGGGGTTTGGGTTGGAGCAACCTCAAGGATTGCTCTGTTCAGTGGGCAGGGACACCTTTTGTGAGAGCTCCAGCAGCCTGGCCTTGGACATTCCAGGGATCCAGAGCTCCAGCAGCCTGGCCTTGGACATTCCAGGGATCCAGGGGCAGCCACAGCTCCCCTGGGCACTCTGTGCCAGAGCCTGCCCACCCTCACTGGAGATTTCTTCATTTATTTTATACAGGCTATCCCTGCCCTCTGGCACTGGGAGCCATTTTCTGGCTTGTCCCCATCCCTTGTCCCCAGTCCCTCTCCAGCTCTCCTGGAGCCCCTTCAGGCCCTGGCAGGGGCTCTGAGGTGTCCCTGGAGCCTTCTCCTCTCCAGGTGAGCACCCCCAGCTCTCCCAGCCTGGCTCCAGCCTCCTCTGGATCTCTCCAGGTGCTCCCTGTGCTGGTCCCAGGGCTGGGGCAGCTCTGCAGGTGGGGTCTCACCTGAGCACAGGGGCAGAATCCCCTCCCCTGCTGCCCCCACTGCTCAGCCCAGGGCAGGGGGGCTCAGCCCAGGGCATGACCAGGTTGAACCTGACCCTTTACAAACCTCAGGGCGATCCCAAAGGGCCCTGGGGACAAAGCCCTGGAGCAAAGGGATGGGGTGAGGCAGCAGGGGAGCAGCAGAGCTCTCCTGGGGCAGGGGGGACACGTACCCGATCTCCTCCCCAGCCTCTATGTGCCTGGTGCTGAAGAAGGCGATCCTGGGGAAGCGCAGGTCCTGGTGGGACATGAACACCCGCACGGGGATGAGGTTGGGCTCGCACAGGTGGTTGATGAAGCGGCTGATGTTGCCATAGAAACGGGCATCGATGCAGTAAACCTCTCCATCCTGGGGAGAAACGGGGCAGAGCTGCTTAGGCCTGGGCTTTATTGGGTTAAATAAATGATCAGGCTGTTGGTCCCCCCATTAACGCTCCTGAGAGCTCCAGGGACAGCCAGGGCAGGGCAGGGCACTCGCTGTGGGCTTCAAAGGACTGAAAACACACACACACACACTTTTATATTTAATTAATATTCAACAGTAGCCTGAAAAGAGAGTTTAGTGCACGGCACTCTGACCCCCCACACACCCCAGGGGCTGGTTTTTAACACTCTGGCACACCAGTTCTCCCAGTCCAAGCACCAGTTTGGCACAATGGGGTTGATGTTCAGCGCAGACACTTTACAGGTACCAGCCCCTGGACAGGGGAACAGGCATCTGTTCTGTCCTCTAATTGAACATGACAGCTTGGAAACACAAAGCCAGAGCCTTGAGAAAACACAGGGTTTTGCAGATAAGAGCGAAAGTGAGAACACAGAAATTCTCTTTCCAGAGAGCAGTAATACTTTGTTTTTCTTGAAAATAAAAGAACCCCCCTCAGGGCTTTTTTATTCCAGTAGAGAATGACTGTGCAAAGCAGAGGCTTTAATTACAGGAGCTAATTTCAGTTGCAAAGAGGCCAAAAGCAAAAGGATCCATTAGTGGTGCTCCAAGTCCCTTTTGGACAAGCACCTCGGACCATTAATGGATGAGCTGTGCCAGGGCACACTTGGGGGTGCAGGAGCCCAGGAAAAAATCCAAAACATCCCCAGAACTGGGGGAGGCATCACCCCAACGGGCCTGGAGCACACACGGTGTCACCAGCCCTGATTTCATGAATCGGTGATTTCCCTCCCTCCATTTCACACACAGGAACGCCACGGTGGGGCAGGATGACATCCACAGCAGCACCTGGGACACTCCAGGATCACCTCCCAGGGGGCTGAGAGTGACAACTCAAGGGACAGGGACATCACAAATGACAGCCCAACCACTCTCACCACAGCACAGGTCCATTCAAGCCATTCCTTTGGGACACACCAGGACCTCCAGGCCCCCCAGGGTTGGGATTCCCAGCCTTGGCAATGCCCCATCACTCTGGAGGACACAGGACCCTCTGGCTCTGCCCTGCCCTTCTCTGCCCAGCCTGATGGGCAGCTTTAACCATCCCCCAGTGATCTGGTGCCTGGTTTTCTGCAGATGCTTGGTCTCCCTGTTTCCCTGAAGGATTCCCAGGAGCCAGCACTGAGGTTCTCCCTCAGGGCTGCCAGTCAGGGCTGAGCAAGAGGCAGGGCGGGGCCCAGGTGCCTCATAAACCAGGCTAAAATCCTTTTCAACTTCTTAACTGACCCCCTGTTTTCACACCAGATTCATCATTTATCTTTCCTCAGCTCTTGAAATGGGTGTTGCTTTAAAAAAAAAAAAGAGAACAGAAAAAATAAAGTGAAGCTTTTTTGTCACAAGTTGATGACAGAAACAAGGCACAGAGTGTTTTACAGCCTTCCTTGGAAGCCACCCCACTCCTGCGAGTCCCCAGCTCACCTTTCCTCACTTCTCCTTTCCCAGGGGGAGTCTGAAGTCATGGCCTCGCTGAAAACTTTGAGATTTTACTTTGCAAAGCAAAATTTCTGCCCTGAGAGCCCTCACAGAGCAGTGCAGGGGAACAAACAGCAGAACAAGCCCCTGTGCCAGGGTGGCTGGTGGATGTTTTATGAGTGAACAGGGTTTGTTGGGGTTTTTTTTTTAAATCTTTCAGCTCATCACCACTTTATGAAGAACTCAGAGAGCTGCCAATCACACAGATGCCAGGCTGGGAGTACCAAAAGCTGGACAATTGAGCTCAGGATGCTCCAGGGGGTGTGGGCAGCACACGTTGGGTTTAACCAGCCCCAAATCTGCCTTCAACCACGCTCCCACTAAAGCACAGCAGCCCTGCTCCCTGCAGGATTTTGCTGCAGATCAAGATGCAGCTCCTCTTTTGAGGAGTCAGGAGCTGAGCTTTGGGACAGGACAGCTGCAGACACTGTACCTTGTTGTCCAGGTCGAAGAGGTAGGAGTCCTCCTCGCGGACATCGGCCTCGGAGTCGGAGATGAGCTCCCCAACGTACCTGTGGGCACAGGGACAGCAATGAGGTGATCACACCTTCAAACTCCTCTTTTTGGGGAGAGAGAAACACAGGGATGCAGCCCAGCCACAGATGGGCAACCACAGCTGCAGTGCTGGCCAGCCCCAAACCACCAAACTGAGCTCTGTTCACTTCCAGCAGTGAAAATCTGGCTCCAAACTCCAGGTTTTCTCTGGAAAAACCTCTTCAGAGCAACTCTTAAAATAATATTTTATTATTATTTATTTAGAATAGTTATTTATAACTATTTATAATATTTTATTATAATATAAAATATATAATATTTTATTACAATAGATAGTATTTTATTATAATATAATATATAATATACAATATACAATCTACAATATATAATATATAATATATAATATATAATATATAATATATAATATATAATATATAATATATAATATATAACATACAATACCATATATCATATATCATAGATATAATAGATATAACAGATATATAAG